AAAAAAAAAAAAAAGAAAGACAAAAATATATATCGTGAAGGGCAGCAGCCTTTGATGAGAAAGGAACCCCACTTCCACTTTCAGTTTTGGCCTTTTCCATCATCTTACCTTCTTAACTTTGGCAATCTCTTTCTGAATTCTTTTCGTTTTTAATCTTTTTAAAAAAATTTTATGAATATTAAAAATTTAATTATCTGTTTTAATATAAAGAAATCATTTAAAAAAATTAAGTATTTTTGGATATCTTAAAAAGAAAAGATGAAAAAAGGGAAAAAGAACCGGGGAAGTACAAATTAATTAAGTTAATTTGGTTTAAGTTACTTGATAGATATAATTGTATCTTTTTAATGATTAAGATTAGAGAAGAAAATTATTTTGGGATAATTTTTTTAATTTCAAATCTGAGTATTGGACGGAATAAGTGTAATAATTAGTTACACATATAAATCGAAGAAGGAAAAAAGTTGAATATAATATTCATATATTATACTATAAAGTATGGATTTCGCTAATCCACAAATGAGGATAAGATAGACTAAAGTTATTTTAGGCATTGCATATGGTAATTAAGACTTAGAGAACACATTAACTTTCATTAGCTAGGCCTTTCCAAAGCGATGACGTGATCCGATAATTCTTTGATTGATACTAAGTCACTATCATGACAAAAGGTTTACCGTCGGTGTAATTTATCTCTAAATTAATAAATAAATAAATGTGTAAGTCATGACAAAGAAAGATTTCATAGATTAATGAACTTAATTCTATAATATTGAAAGTTTATAAAGATTGGTCTATTCTACATGCAAGGTCTTTTGAGTGTATCAGGTGGTAACTTGTAATTATTACCGATAGCTTTCTTGCATGCCATTTTCCTCTAAAGAGATTATAAGTATAAGATTATAAAATATCTTACAAAAGCTTTGTATAAATTAAAGATAATTCTGATAATATCCAATGTGACTCTATTTTTTTTAATCATCAATTTATTATGTTTAATTTGATTTACCTAATTTTTTTTAAAAAAGAATTGATTCGAGTTTACTGTCATGAACTATTTAGTTGTAACAATCATGTTGCAACATTCTCATTTACTTAAAAACAACCCAAAAAAATAATAATTTTTCATAAACAATCTAACTGCAGACTTAACATGATATTTATATTATAGCATTCTCATTTTACTTTGAAACAACCCAAAGAAACAATGACCTTTGGATATACAATACTTAATCCCCCATTTAGACCTCTTATCATAATCCATCTCAATAGACGGACTTTAGTTGAATCTTGGCATAACTTAGTATTCACATTTTACCTTGTCAATGTCACAATAAAATATTTCAATTAGCTAACAAATGTTGAGGCTTAAACGTTCTACCAGACCATGATTACTATAGACAGCAAAAGGACAGGGTCCTCCAAAGTCTTTTAAATCTCGTTATAATTGACCTTTTTTGGAAACTATTTCTCCCTCCTTTCCTTTTCTTCTATTCACCTGTCCAAACCCAATTTGAATTGTTCTTCAAAATCCCATAATTCCCACACAATTTTGGTTACCAAAAAATATATACAAATATATATATATATTTCTCCAATTATTTCGAAAATGACTGTCCAAGCTACCAGGCCCTCGAATCAATACTTCCTATTTCTTTCTTTCTTTATTCTTTTTTCCATTGCATTCACATGTTTAAATCTTACCAAACTTCTAAGATTTGGTCTGCCTATGTGCTAAACATTTGTCTCTTCCAAATAATATATAACATTAAATAATTTTTTTTCAAGGAAGAAAAATATTTGCTATTCAATAATTGCCTAAGGAAAAAAAGATGGTCTATAAACTTTTTGTTTTGGTCCCCGGTAAGAATATACACAGAGGAGAAAGCCGAATAATTTGTACCCAAATTTAGCATAAATATGACACGTGCCACATGCTTGATTCCAAACTACTCATCATCTTTGTCTAAAGTTAACCAAAATTTCAAGCCTTATATACCCATGCGCCCATGCGGTTTTCCATGGAATCATGCATCTTTTCTTCTTTTTTATCTTGGCCTGCATGCATTTTCTCACTTAAATCATCGAAACTTAATAATCTTATTTTATTTAAATTAACCTATATATATTTATATATATGAAATCGTAAATACTGCACGTATATTAAATTAATTTTTTTTTAAAAAAAGTAATGCTTTGGTGACATGTACGTGTTCGCATACGATACATTCATAGAAAAGAGAGGGGTAAGAGATGAAATATGGGAAAAAGAGGGAGCTGGGGAAGCTGGGCTACATGGTGGAATGGCTAAGAGAAGGGGATTACGCGTAGTCCACGTAGGACGGTGGTGGGTCGGCCGCGGTCTCCCAATCATGCGGCGGACCGCATCATTGAACTCATTAGACACCCTCCTTGGGGACCCCACCCACCACCAAAGCTTGGGGCGGTGAACCCAAAACCAACGTTTCTCTCTCTCTCTCTCTCTCCCTCTCACAGTTTAACAACAACAATGATAATCCTATTAGTAAGTTATAAAAATTGGGCAAAAAAAAAAAAAAAAAGGAAGAGAATGTGGAGATAAGAGTTAGCGTAACCAGCAAAAGGAAGATCCATGGGGGGTCCTTTCAGGATCTTTTAACCCCTTTTTGACATCGACCACCCTCCAAACTCTCTCTCTCTCTCTCTCTCTCCTTCTTCTCTCTTTCTCAATCCTAGAACAACACCTTACCCTTCCCAAGTTTTCGTTTGTTACAAAGATATTTTTCCCTTTGTTGACAGTGGTTGGTGAAGAAGAATAAATCAACAAAAAAGAAGAACAAATCAAAGGGTTTTTAGCCAAACTCTTGAACTACACTCATAACTCAAGAACACACTCTTCCACTCTTTTCATTTCCAAGGTGTGAAGCACAAGCTTCTTTCAAGGGACATCAACCATGATTGCACCCCTCCCTTGTAGGCATTAATTCTAACATTTGTATCGACAATGAAATTTATATTTATATTTATATATATATATAGAAAGAGAACAAAATACATCTACTTTTTCTAGACTTTATAATGCATTTTTTCCCTAAGGAGACTATGGTTGAATATTTCAACATCGTTGGGTGGAAATTGGGGAAAGAATATATATTTTTTCCCATAAC